TAGTTTGATTCGTCTTGCTTAGTGCATTATTAATATCTTATTTTTATAAATTTTTCTAATGAGAGATTGAAGATACTCATGATTAAATACTTACACCTTATTAAAATCTTCAATTCTTTCCAAAATGTAAGAAAAAACTTTCTCCGTGTTTAATAGATGAAATGTTTTCCTTTTTCGCCCATGTTTAAATAAATAAAACGTTTCCTTTATTAGTAAATTCTCTCTATTTTTAATAATATTCTCTCTCTACTTTTTAATAACATTCGACTAACTAATGGTCCCCTCAAAACTCGTTACTCTCTTCGCCCTCCTCAAAACTTACCCCACTACCTATTATTTAATAAATTCAACTAACCTTCCTAAAACTCCGTGAAAGCTAAAACGTTTCATTTATTTAAACATGGAGGGAGTAATCAAGTAAAGTTGTCATTTAATTAGTATTAATATGTACTTTTAGAATTTTTATTAATATGTGGTAAAGAAGCCAAAACTTTTCATTTATTTAAACACGGATGGAGTAATCAAGTAAAGTTAATAGAAAATGTTTATGTATTGATAAATGCGGCAAAAGAAATGAAAATAACCTAAAGGAACAGAAACAATAGTGAAGTATATTTCCTCCGTTCCAATAATATTGCAATAAGGATGAAATTACACATCCCAAAGCACATTTTATATGTTAAATTACGAATCTAACAAGATGCCACATGAGTATATTTTACTTAACGTATAAATCATATTTATGTGGTCAAACAAGAGTAATAAATAGTGCAAAAGTCAAATTGTTACATTGTTTAAAAAAAAATTGTTACAATATTATTAGAAAGGAGAAAGTATAAAATAAACGTCAAGTAATATTAATTACAAAAGTGGTAACTAATGATTTTATAATTGGAAGGGTTGCAAACACAAGCTTGTAAGCTAATTTTCCATAAAAAAATTGTAGTCCTTACTATTAAAGTCTTACGTAGTGCTTTAAAGTTTAATGGTATGAAAGTCTTTATATCTTGCAAGCAATTACATAAAAACATTACACTTTCTCCATTTTTTTAAAAATCGCAACATTTACAAAAGATATTTCGGCCCTTATTTTTGCAAAGGAGCAAAGAAATAGGAACAAAGAGGTACTCAATTATTTTTCCCTTTCTTTTCTACTAATTTTTTGATTCAACCTCATACCCATTTGAATGTAGCAGACAATAGCGGGGCTTATTGTTGTGGGTTTTGTTTATTTTCTAACATATTTTAGATTCGTCTCATTGTATATTTTATTAATATCTACTGTAATTTTTATAATTTTTACATGGCAAATAAAAATGGAGATTAAACTGAAAATATTAGGGAACGAGAATGTATAACACTAATTTCTACTCCGTACCATATCTTTCAATCTTTCATACTCCCTTCGTGTTTAAAATAAGTGTTACATTTTAACAGGCACAAAATTCTAGGCAATTTAATTGACTTAAATAAAAGAAGAGGTAAGTGGGGTATTTAGAGTATTAAAAAATTATAAAAGAAAGATAGGAGGGTTAATATTTTATTGAAAAGTAACAAATGTGAGAGGAAAAAAAAAGTGGTAGCGAGTTTGAGTGGGGACCATGATAGGAGAGATAGATATATTATTAAAATGCAACTTTTTACCAAAAAAAATGTAACACTTATTAAAACATGTTCGTATTTGATAAGTGTAAACTTATTAAAGAACGGAGGGAGTAATATGTAATTTATACTTATTGATAATTAAAGATACTATTGGTCAAAGTTTTGCATCGACATGTGTACCAAGTTATAATACACACTTACAAAAAGAGAAAGGAGTACTGTAGGGAATATTTCAACACTGAATTTTGAGCCCCACTGTGGTCATGCACTCATGGTGGCGTCCAAAGGGAAAGAAGCTAGCGATAAAAGAGTCGCTAACAAGTTTTAGGAACTTGTAAACCGTCCACGGGTGTGAAGGTTACACCCCATTCACGATCACGGAGATCGCTAACTCCATAGTGGTCCGTAACCATGACTGAATATTCGGGGATGATGGTACGAATCCAACCTAAAAGAGATTGAACCCGCCCTAAATCGGCCTCTACTTTATGCTTATGATATTCATGTGCGTTTTCCGATCAATATACATACAACAAGTTAGCCCTAAACCAGCTTAATCTATATTGGTTGACTATTAATGCACAAATAAATCTATTATTGTCGATCACTTGAAATTAAAATCATATTAAGCCCAAAATCAAATTATTAATTATCTTATTAGGCGTGATTTCAAGTATAAATTCCCTTTAAATCTGCAAGAAAAGGCATGATCAAGCAACATATAATAATTGACACAACAATCATCGTCAATATAATCATGATAATATATAGCAAGATCCTAGGCATAATACTAAACGGATTACTAACAAACCCTAGCATGTCACTAAATAATAAAAATCAAAGCTTTAGCCTAAACATGATACTAGAAAGCACGATATTAGAAATATTAAAAAAATACCTTAACATGATACTAGAAATCAAAAAAGCATCCTAACATGATACTAGGAATTAAAATAATATTCTAAGCATGATTCCTATATCAAAATCTAAGAGTAGAGATAGTAGATCTACTCACTTTGATGCCTCGTATCTCTTTCTATCAAAACAATACACACGTTAGTAACTTTAGGAGAGATCAAATCAAACAAATAAATCAAATAAGAATTGAAATAGAGATTAGGGACCAAACCCTCTGATATATAAACCTTTCACGTCGAGGTCGAAGGCAACTTCGAGAAGGGCTTGGAGTATTCAAGTCCTGCAAAGATCATATGGTGTGATATGTTTAGGCTAGGCTTAGAAAGAGAGAGAGAAGCTTATAGCTTATAGAAAGAGGATTAGATGATGATTGTTGGTGATCAAGCTTGTTGATAATTGAAAACGGGGTGAAAACGTCACTATTTATAGGAAAAAACGATGGAAAAGATCAGAATAAGAGTCAAAATCCGACTCGGAGTAAAACGCTTCTCATCGCGTGGCGATGGTTTCATCGCGTCGTGATGCTTATATCGCTGCGCGATATTTGCAGCGCTGTGCGATGCTTTTCAGAAGATAAGATCCGTACGGAATCCGACTTCCAATAAATTTGGGTCAGTCGAATATTCGTACTTATCCTTATTTTATCATAATTAAATCTATTAAAAACACATGTTTTACCCAAAATAAAATTCTTAAACTTTGTCTTTTCAAAAAGAGGATAAATTAGAATTTTCTAGAGGACTCTAGAAGCTAATAATCAATCCTAAGGGATTTAGGACTTAAAACAACTTTCTAGAAAATTCTAGAAACTTATGATAAATCTTAATAGTTTTAGAAATAGAGTTTAGATAAATGGACCCTCCACATGATCATTGGGTCCGCAGCTAAGGCTCGGTTTGGACCCAGTTTAGTATTTTGGCCATAACTTCTTCGTTATAACTCGGATTTGGGCTTATAATATATCGTTGGAAAGATCTTTTCAAACCCCATCCAACTACACAATTATTGGACCCAAATTATGGACCAAAATAAACTGGTTTGGTCGTTTTTATAAAAAGGATACGAAAAGAAGGATTTTCAAAGACACGAAATGAATTATTTTGGGTAAAACATTTAAAGAAAGGTTAGAAATGGTCAACACTAAAGGGAACTTCACGAGACTCTTCAACTCTTCACCTAACTCGATAATCAAAGACGCGAAAGGTATTTATCACTTGGTTTGGTTTTTGGGGAGACACAATCAGGTGTCTACAAGTACTAATGCTCATATGCAGAAAATAAAAAAATAATAAAAAAAAAACAGATTGAAAAATGTACATGATAAACAAAATGTTGCTCCCTTCGATTTATAATGATCTTTCTCTTACAATCATGTGATTATTAAAATGAAATAAAGTCTTTTAAATTTGTCTCTAAGTATAAGAAAAAAAACATATGCAAATGAGGTCTAGTTTGATTCATATCGGTGGGTACAATATTAATATCTAATTTTTATAATTTATGCTAATGTGAAATTATAATAATTAGCGATCAAATAATTACAATCGATATACGTAAATAGGAAGATTTTTGTAAAACAGATAAATTCATACAAAGTACTTCCTCCGTTTTTTTTAATTGCACCTTTGAGATTTTACACTATTTACACAACCTCTTTTGTCCATCTTTTGTGATTTATCCGTAGGGAAAATATAGTCATGTGGGATCTCTTTAGATTCATCTCGACGTTTACTTTTCAATTATCAAATTTTTATAATTTTTACTTAAATATAATTAAATATATTAATGACCAAAGTATTGCATCGACAAGCGTGAAATGACAAATGGTGCAATTTAAAAAAACGGAGGAGGTATATATTAAAAAAAAAAAATATGTATATCCAAATTTTACAATTTTTGTTGATTTGAGATTAAAGATACTTGCTATAAAATATTTACATTGATTACGCATAAACGAGAAGAATATTACGAAATGGAGGTAGTACTTTATACTTCCTCTTTCCTTTTTTATTTGACCAACTTTGACTTGTACACCATTCCCATTTCTCCTTTGACGGTTTTTAAGGGAAAACATATTCGTGTGAAATCTTGTTAAAATCGTTTCAGTACATACTATCATAATATTTAACTTTTATAAATTGTACTTATGGAGAATTATACTTAGTTATTGATATAGTTCTGCGTCAGAGCAAACGTGATAAATGAAATTGGTCAAGTAAAAAAGAATCGAGAAAGTAGTATATATCCATTACAAAAAAAAAAAACCAAGGAAAACCATATTCTTGTGGGATTGTCTCAATAAGTGTTATCATAATGTACAACTTTTATAATTTTTATTTATGGAGTTGATTGTTAGAGCTTTGAATTGACAAGTGTGATAAATGAACAGAAAGTAGTATATATCCATTATTAAAAAAATTCTGTAAGGAAAAAGTATATTTTAGGCCAAAAATTATAATTAGGATATTTTGGATTTTAACACCTTACAAAAGGCTGAAAATGTTTTTTAACACCCCCCAAAAAAAAACTTTTATTTTAACACCTCCCAAAAATATAAAAGTTGGAAGTTAACACCAAAATCCATCTTCCGTTAACAGAACTGTTAGTGGGGCCCACCCCAACGGATATATTTTTAAAAGATCTGTATATAAGAACCATTCTTCCACGATTCTTGCACGATATATAAGAACCATTCTTGCACGATTCTCCCCCAATGAACGAAATCGTTGTTCTTATTGAATAGCAGCAGCGTATTGCATTGTTGCACGATACTTGAAACAATTCTTTCACGATTCTTCCACGATTTTTGAGAAGAGGAACAGATTGAAGCTGCTGAAACAGGTGAGTGCGGTCAATTGTTCGGTTGTTTGGTAATTATGGTTTAAATTCTCTTCAATTATTATTTGCAATTGTTTCGTACTCAGATTAATGGTTGGATTATGTTATGTACGCATCTAAATGCCCAATTGCGAAATTAGGGTTCGTCAGAAATTGAATTTGGGGCTTTTCGTATTATGAAATTAAAAATGAATTTTGTTGCTGTCAATGTTAATTCGTCAGTGTACAAATCTGTAAATGTGACTGTCGATCTAAAATTGATGCAGATTATGTCGTTTGTTAGCTCTTCCCCTCCTGAGGCCAGAAAATGTAAGTGTGGTGTGCCAATGGCCAAGCTCACTAGCTGGACAAGGGAGAATCCAGGCAGGAAGTTCATATCATGTAAGTTTTATGACCCAATAACAGAAACAAGGGGTTGCAAAGCTTTCGAATGGGTTGATCAACCTGATGGAACAGATTGGCAAACAGGGGTTATCAACAACCTGTTGTTGGATAAGAAGCTGCTAAAGGGTGAAGTTAATGAATTGAAAAGGGAAGTTGATGAAATCAGTGGCCAAAGGAGGTGCCTACTTAATGAAGTTGATAATTTGAAGATGAGATGCAAGGCCTTGAACGCTGACAGGAAGAGAATGAACAGGGAGTGCAATGAAGGGAAGGTGTCTTCAATCAGCTGTTTTGGTTGGGTGGGCATGGCCATTTGTATAGGTTTGTCAATGGGTGTAATTTTCCTAATGGCTAGGGGTGTGTAATAGTAAGCTGTATTAAGTAGTTATAATTTCTTGTAATGACTTGAAGTGTTATAAATATGTCTTTTAATCAACCTATTTATGCCTTGTCTAAGTTCCTATTTATGCCTTGTCTTTTAATCAACCTATTTAAACATGTGAAACATTAAAACATGGGAAATATGTGAAACACTAAGATAGTTCAAGTACAGGTTGACAAAAGAACCTTACTTCAACATGTTTCAATGGCAATCAAAGCCATGCAACCATTACAATTCAATATCTAATTGTTCAAATTTGTTAAGGGAAGCCACTAAAAAACTAGCAAGTTACATAACCAGTCATGAGTACATAATAAAAGTTTGAAATTGTTCAACAGACATAATGTTTGATATCCAGCATGAGTACATCACTGAGTAAGGTTGTTGAGGGATTGCAGCCTGGCCCTTGTTACAACACCTGTGGCTGTTGTAGGCTGACTTGAGGAAGACCTTGTCTTTCTTTTTGGTTGGCTTGAGGCAGGCTGACTTGAGGAAGGCTGAGCTGAGGATGGCTGACTAGAGGATGGCTGAGCTGAGGAATGCTTAGCTGAGGAAGACTGTGGCTGTGGGCGCTTGCTGAATGGCAGACAACCTTCTTGCTCTTGAGGAAACTTTTTGTTTCCTATGCTGTTTGGTCCAGCCCCAATTGCACTCTATGACATGCATATAAAAATAAAAAGTCAATGGAAAAGACACATACATATATAAAACAAAGGGGGAGTTGGTGTAATGCTTGTGTTACCTTTTTAGCAGCCCTAATCTCTTTCTTCTTCCTCTCCTCCACCATCCAAGGAGTGTTCAGTGGGGGTCTGCCTGCTGACTTTATCAGCTCTGTAGCTGGTGCAGCAGGTACTTTGCAAGTCTTGGCATAATGCCTATATCCCCCACAGTTGCTGCATTGCTTCTTCCTCTTGGTACTTGCCTGACCACCTGAAGAAGAACATTCTCCTGGCTCAAGCTTCCTTTTTTTGCTCTTTGGTCTCCCAGGTTGCACCTTAACAGAAGGGGGTAGTGGTTCCCTCATTCTGACTCTCTCCCAGTGCTTTGGGCCAGGCATTGGTTGGACAGCTGGTTCATAAGCAGACCTGTATGTGTCCATGGTATAGTATGGGTCAACAACAGCCTCTATGTCACCCCTCATATCCAATATGCAGGCATAAGCATGAACACATGGAATGCCAGTGAGTTCCCAATGGTAACATGTGCAGGTCTCCTTGTCCAAATCAACCAACACCTGGTCATCCTTCAGCTGCACCTCAAATGTATTCCCTCTGGATGGCTGCACCACACAGGACCTAGCCACAAAGTCTATCCTCCCCAGAACATGCCTCACATATGGCACTAAGTTGTGTGTAATTGTTTTTGAATCCTCCCACTTTTCATTATTCCTGTTCATAATATACCTCCTCATCCATTCCATTTGGGTGAGGATAGGTTTATCTCTGGCAGGCCTAATGACTGCATTGAAAGTCTCACACATGTTGTTCAACAACATGTTGGACTTGCAGTTTGGTGTGAATGCATGTCTAGACCAATGGTGGGGAGGAATGTTGATTAAATACTCATATGCCTCTTCATCGAGGAATTTGATAGACTCCATGGCAATTTCATGCTCAAACTGACATATAAAAGCATACCAGAAATCACACCAAGCATATACAAGCTAACCAATATAAAAACACACCAACAGTCATATAAAAGCATAGGCTAGCTTCAACAATCAATAAACTTACAATGGTGGTGGCCCTAGCTGCTCTCCAAAACAGCTCCTTAAAGGTTGATCCAGTGAAGTTGAGCTTGAAGTTAGCCCAAATATGCCTCACACAAAACCTTTGCTCAGCTTTGGGAATAACATCAGCCATTGCTTTAATCAAACCCTACCAAATGCAGACAAAAGTATAATCATCAGTCAATCACATACATACACATGAAAACTTAGAAATTGAACCTAAATAGTTAAGAGGGAAACAGAAGCATTACCTTTTGCCTGTCAGACATGATGGTCAGCCCAGCTCCTTGATCATGTGTGAACATTGACATAAGGGATTCCAAGAACCAACCCCAAGTTTCCTGGTTTTCAATCTCCACTGTGGCCCAAGCTAGAGGAAACAAGTTGTTATTCCCATCCTTAGCAACTGCCACCAGAATTTGCCCAGGAAAGGCACCCTTGAGGTGACAACCATCCAACCCTATTAAAGGCCTACAACCCTTTGCAAATCCATCTCTCAATGGCCTTAAACAGATGAACATCCTCATGAACAATGGTGGCTCTGGCCTGTCAATACCATCAACAACAACATTGCACCCTGAACCAGGGTTGTACTTCATCACAGCTTTCCCATAATCCCACACCCTAGCATACTGCTCCCTAGCTGAACCAAATATCAGTAGTTTTGCCCTACACCTAGCTAGCCATGCCTTATAGTAACTCACATCAACTCCTAAATCATTCAAAATCCTAGCCCTAATCTCCTTAATTCTCCAACCAGGGTTACTCCTAAACTCTTCTAAATACCTCTCTGCTATGTATTCAGCAGTAAGCATCTTGTTCTTCTTTACTCTGAAGCAGGAATGGTCTAAATTCAAGGTTTTGATTTGCCAAGTTTGCTGCTTAACAAGTTTTGATGCAAACACCTTGAACTGACACTTTACCCCCCCCCACACATGTACAAGCAGGCATTCTACAAGTGTAGCTATTGAACTCACAGCCACATCTATATCTACACTGAACTGTAATCCTTTTACTGTCATTATGCAAGTAGTAGAACTCATACCTGTTTTGAATGGCATGAAGTCTTAAGGCCCTCCTCAAGACTGAAGCATTACTGAATTTCTGATTTAACTTCAACTTGATTGGGTTGTCAAAGTCCACATCAGCATTAAACCAAGGAGCATAGTCCTGTTCCTCATCAGATCCACACAAACTCCTTGAATCATCTGAATCAGCATCACTTTCTGGATTCACCTTCGGTTTTCCAACATCCAAATCATTTCTCAACTCTACTCTCTTATCTTTGCCAACCCTGTCATCTACTGCACTCTCCAAACCTTTCCTAAGGCTCTTGTTCACTTTGGCCAAGATCTCCTTTGACCCTTCAATATACCATTCCTCATCCCCTTCATCAAATTCTTCTTCACCAGGTTCCCAATCTTGTCCCTCATCACTCAAATCTGAACTTGAATAACCAGATCCTTCACATCCATCATCCTTTTCTTCATCAAACCTCAACACTTTCCCCTTCTGCCTATACCAACAGCTGTAATGCATAGGCACATCCATATCACCATTAACAAAACCATGAATTGCAGCTGTTCTAATCAAATGCACATCCAACTTAGATACTTGAACCTTCCTCTTCCAGTAACACCAACCACCACACCAACACAGCAGCTGCCTGTTTTTGGTTACTCTTTTAGGGACAAAAGCACCTCCCACTCTAAGGCAGATGTCAACCAAACTATCCTTGTCACCCATTATCTACCCACCAGTGAAAAACATATAAAACATATTAAAAGCCATGTAACTATACATGCACAATACGAATAAACAAATCCATCACAGCCACACAAACAAACACATAAAAAAATTGAAAATAAACATATACAAGCCAATGTAGGTGCTCAGTAACATAAATTAATCAACAAACCACACTTGCTAGTTTAATTAACAATAAACCACCTTAATTAATCTCTACTTTCAATTACGAAATCCAATTAACCTAAGTCGCATAGTCAGTTACAGAAATTGATTTATCAAGGCTTTCCTACTGTGGTCCCAAAATTTACCCTAATTACCCAATTATTGCAAGGTTTACAGCAATGAAGCACCAGTAATTGACGAAATTGCTATCAAAGGAGAGCAATTTTACCTTATTTTCTGTGAATTTCAAGCGGCTTTCGCACTTTTGTAGTTGAAGAAGATGATGAAGAAACCCTCCTGAGCTTATCTTCTCCAACGTTGACACCACCCTACACTCCACTTCTCAGCCAAGATCTCCTTTGGTTCAAAAGCGAAATCAATGAAGGTTCAGAAAGAATTCAATGCAGAAGGTTGCTGCGAATTCAATGAAGAAAGAAGTTTCGTGTTTTGCTGGGTGAAAATTGAAGTTCAAGCCAATTTGTGGGACCCACGTTAAATTTCCGTGACGGAAATCGTTAACTGGTGTTAACTTCCAACTTTTATATTTTTGGGAGGTGTTAAAATAAAAGTTTTTTTTTTGGGGGGTGTTAAAAAACATTTTCAGCCTTTTGTAAGGTGTTAAAATCCAAAATATCCTTATAATTATTGATATGATATTATACTCCCCTTGTTAATACTATAACAACTCTAATTTATTATGTTAATTCTTCTAGAAGCTTGATTTTATATACACCCTCTCTAACACAAATTAATGGAGACATATTTAATTATATCTTTACAAATAATAGAAAAAAAAATCCTAAGTACAACAATTATAGACAAAAATAGGAGAATGAATTAACTGTCAAAGTTGAATTATGTTTTGGATATTATTGGTGCTCACTGCTCAGATTGCTCACGTCGGTTGACAAGATAAAGCTCTACTAACTCAAAAATGAAAAAGGAAGAGGACATGCGTGGAATTTTTCCAAAACAAATTACTGTTCAAATACCCTTTTCAAGCAAACCTACAATTCTCTTTTTAGTATTGTATAGAAATGAGCATTTTTCCTTTAACATCTCGATCATGCCACTCTTTAGTTCAAAAAAAAAAAAAAAAAAAAAAAAACAAATTGCCAAACTAAACACAGGTATGCCAATGATTCGAGGAACACTTTGCAACCCTTTATCCCCCAGTAAACCATTCAAACACATAGTTCATTCTTTCATTAACCATTTTGAGCCTCATCTAACGTTTGGCTTCATTTGTTCAACCCACATTCACCTAACCTTGGGATTGGAAGGTGTGTAATTTGTGTAATTTTCAAAAGCAAGTTCCAAAAAAAGAAAAAAAAAAACGATGTCTAAGGGCAAGTGTTCCAATGTCTTTGATATGAACACGTCTCGAATTACGTCTCTCATCGAGTGCTTGATACCGTGCCTGAGAAACATGAATGCTAAGTGAGTGATGGATCGCATGATACGGGATTGCCCACATTGATTAATAAAAGACAAAAGCAAAAACAAAGCCAAAAAAATGTGAAAAATAAATAAAACTTGCAAAATTCAAACACTTATTACACAATTGCACATCTTGGGGGCTTATCTCGGGTCTTGAGCCTTTTACCCCTTTCCTCTTTAAACCATCAGCCTTAACCACATTACAACCCTTGAAAGACCTCTTTGAGGTATACATACACTTGTGCAAAGTTCGGCTAGAGCTACGTTTGGCCTGATTCCTAACGGATACGTAGGCAACCTCGCATTGAGGTGCATGCACATTCACATCCATATTCACATTCATATTCATGCATGATTGAGTCAAAAAATTTCCAGTACTCATTCCTATCCGTCTAGAGCTAGACTTAGGGGCTTGAATCCACATCACTTAGCCTACCTAGCCTAAAGAGCCATTATCTTTGACTCTTCCCACGTCTCTTTCCATCGCCATAACCTTTGCAGCCTCACCTTAGTATTATATTCACACACTTCATTCACATATACATTGCCATTCTCCCCCATAGGAGCCCTTTATCATGAAATCTTGTTCTCATACCGTGCATGCTTCACGATAACAATCAACAAACGTCATCAGCGTTCAAAAGCATCAATGAATACTTGCTTAGCTTCCTGACCTAAGAAACTTTCATATATTACATATTGTGCTTAGCTCCCTGACCTAAGCAATACTCAGCAATCACCACTTTATGCGTGCTTAGCTTCCAAGCCTAAGCAACGTCCAAGATTTTACACTATATATGATGCTTAGCTTCCAAACCTAAGAAACATACATCGACAATAAGCTACGATTATACCGTGCTTAGCTTCCTGACCTAAGTGCATTCATTAATCGTGTCACATGATGTAATTGTGCTTAGCCTCTTGGCCTAAGAACATTCATCTTGCATACATTATCATCAAGACGAGCGATTCAATTTGACAAGATAATCCATGCGATTCACTTCGCTTTGCTCAACGAGGAAGTTTAGAAGTTTCTTCCCATTTTCAATCTTTTTTCTTTTGGGGAAGTTCAAACACTTTTCTAATTTTTTTTTTCTTTTGGGGAAGTTCAAAAACTTTTTCAAAAATTTTATCGTGGGAAGTTCGAAAACATTTACCTTCATTATATTTTTGCATTTTCCAGTCGCTTGTGTCTGCGCACACACTCAAACTATACATATATACACACAGTCACAAGTCGTACGGATGTCATGTCCTGTCAAGATAAGCTTAGTCAAGTCGTGAGTCAATCACAGTCTATACAAGTCCTTTTGCAAATTCTATTTTGTAGGTCTCGGGTACAACCTCTATTCGGGGACAATCGAACAAATCATTATTTATAGCCTTTGTTCGGGGACAATATGACATTTATCAAACACTCAGTGATCATCTTGAGGCGCGGACGATTCACGTCGCAAGTTTCTCAAGGCGTAGAGGCTTGTAATCTTTCATCATCAGGCATGTTTTCCCGAGGCACGGAAAATGGTCAATCGTTGCATACTTCTCGAGGCATAGAGGTCTGCAATTGCGTCCCGAGGCGCGGACACTTAGTGTAATTCCCGAAGTATGGAATTTCACTTGTGAGTTACTTGAGGCGTAGGAGCTCACGATAGGATTCCCGAGGTGCGGATACTATCTCATATCAATCTTCCCAAGGTGTGAAAGATCATCATTCAGTAGGTTGCTCGAGGCGTAGGAGTCTACGACATGTTTCTCGAGGCGTAGAAACTTGTCACCTTTTATCTAGTGGATTGCTCAAGGCGGAGTGATTTACAGTAGGATTCCCGAGGCGCAGATACTATCATTCATCATTCTTCCCGAGGCGCGGAAGATCATCATTCAGTAGACTGCTCAGGAGTCTATGACACGTTTCCCGAGGCGTGAAAACTTGTCACCTTTTGTTCAGTGGATCACTCGAGGCTCAGTGGTTCATGATAGAATTCCCAAGGCGTGGAAGACTATCATTTGGTAGATTTCTCAAGGCGTAGAAAGCTACCAAATGTATTTGGTGCCAACGCATTGGTGTCAAATACGCATTTTATCCCTTTATTCTTTTATTTGTGGAACTAACGCTTTTCTGCAGGTATCGGCGTATACAGAGTGATTTAGGATCGCACAACGTCTTAAATCATTCTCCGTCCCAATCGAGTACTTTGACTATCATTTTCGAAACTTACGTTTCTACCAACTCAGTCAAAGTGGGCACTTTTGTAGACACCTAAAAATATCTCCCCAAAACCAAACCTGATGATGAACAACCTTTCACCGCCATTATTGGTCGGGTTGAGTATTTAATCTCAGGAGTGCTTTAAATCCATATTCAGTCTAACACAGTCTACAAATCGGTCCTCAAATCAGTCCAAGTATTTATTCAAAGCATAGTCCAACCCTCATTTCCGCCCAAACCATTTTTAATCCATTTCATGTATTTATTAATTAAGCCCGATTAATAAATATTAAAATCCCAAACCTGAAATAGGTCCGGAATAGTTGAAATAGCGCCTAATTCTCCCGTACTTAATGTAAAATAAAAAGATAAAAATGAATTTAGATGGAATTCTAGAAACACAATTGCAGCGCCACGACAATTTCTGCCGCGCAATGGCAATCTTTGTCGTGCAACGACAATCTCTGTCGTGCCACGACAATTTCTTTGACCCGGGTAAAACATTTAAAGAAAGGTTAGAAATGGTCAAGACTAAAGGGAACTTCACGAGACTCTTCAACTCTTCTCCTAACTCGATAATCAAAGACGTGAAAGGTATTCATCACTGGGTTTGGTTTTTGGGGAGACACAATCAGGTGTCTACAGAAACCCCCACTTTGACCGAGTTTGGAGAAACGTAAGTTTCAAAAACAAAGGTCAAAGTAGATCGATAAGGACGGAGAATGATTCAGAACGTTCTGCGATCCTATATCATTCTTTTTAACACCGGTATCTTCTTAAAAATGTTAGTTCTACAAATAAGGGTGTTAGAAACGCGTATCTTGCACTGTCGGGTATACGCCTCTAGGTAACATCTTATGCTATATTTGACAACCTCCAAAATGCTTCGTGAACGCCGTCGAAGGCAGCAGTGTTTCGCTATCTTCATTTGTAGTGACAATCTTCCACACCCTAGGGAACATCGTCGAAGGTGATCGTGCTTTGCCATCTTCAGTTTTGTGGCAGTGCTTCGCCACGGCAGTGCTTCGCCACTGTTGACAATCTCCTCCATGCTTCGGGACATCGTCAAAGACCGCAGTGTGTCGCCATCTCCAAAATCTCGTCATTGCTTCGACGTGACCAATTAATACTGACAACCTCCACACCCTAGGGAAAGCTAGCGAAGCTCTCAGTGTTTAGTGATCCCCAAATCTCGCCAATGCTTTAAACAGGGTTAACCCATGCTTCGGTATGCTGAATATGCACTCCTCCAATGCTTCGGTGGAGTTAACTAGTGTTTCGGTGCGATGAAGTGTGCTTTGTTAATGCTTCGGTGTGTTTAAGTGTAACGAGCCGATGTTTAGGCGCTTGTGCTTTGTAAAGAGCCAATGTTTAGGCGCTTAAGTCATTGAAATGATCGTCATTAGGCCGATCATCAACCAAACTTGTAATCGGGCCGATTACTAATCAAATCAATTGCTTAAAGGCTAAATGGCGTACTAAGGAGCCCAAACATTAAATTTAGTCTGCATAATCCATTTATGGGACCCACAGAGTCCATCGCTGGTAGGAGCAGAAGCATCGTGCAATTCCAGGTCTTATCGCGTCGCGATGGGTATATCGTATTGTGATATTTTTGCGTTTTTGCGGATTTAAATCCTTTCTTCTTCCTCATTTCGTTGTTGCTGTTCGTGTTCTTTGTTTTCGCTCGAAACTTCGAAACGCTTGTTCTTGGCCATTTCTCAACTAAATTCACTCAAATCTCTTACAAATTAATGTATTCTCATCCTAGTTTATCGATCCATGTAAGTTTTGCTCAAACCCTCCTTATCTGGGACGATTTTCAAGCATATTCTTCACGAATTTCCGGAAAATTCGAATGTGCTTTTGCTAATTACTCAAGTCTTGTCGAATTTTTTGCCATGAAATTGCTTGTATATGTTTCTATATTGCTTT